AATACTGAAGAGTAAATGGGAAGATGAACTTCCTTGCCCTTGTTATCCTCTTGGACCCTTTATTTCAAGTACCTTGAATACTCAGAGCTTCTTGATCCACCTGTCTTTTGCTCATTTGCCCAAGAGCAGTCAGGTCCAGAGAAGAAAAGTGCCTGCCATTCCAGCTCGTTGACTGTGACTTGTCACTTTCCTTTATTGCCAGCTCATTCCTCAGCTGCTGGACACTCTCCCCATTCTCCTTAGCCTCCCATCCATCAGTTGGATTCTTTGGACAAACTGGATCTCTTCTCATACATCCTTTAAATCTACTCTGCACTTTGGGAGCTATATCCCAGCATGCTCTTCCAGATAGAGACTTCCCTGGATGCCCACAGTTACTTTGACTTTATTTCCAACTGTGGGTCCTCTTTTGCAGAAGTTGCTTCAGCTTCCACACAGTCCAGTATTCCTGGTCTAAGCTCCATCCCCTCTTGTGAAGCTGTGTCTCCTCTTGTTCCCCGCCGGACTTGCACTGCCCAGCAAAGAGCTATTGACTCTGTGTCCGGAGCTAGTGTTGATGGTGACAGAACACACACAAAACAAGGGTGGAAGAGATATGGGAACATATGTTTATGTATAACTGATTCACTTTGTTATAAAGCAGAAACTAACACACCATTGTAAAGCAATTATACTCTAATAAAGATGTAAAAAAAAAAACAAGGGTGGAAATCCACCAAGGCAGATTGTATAGCTCTTGTACTAATGAAAACAAATTATTCATTTTGGCAGAATGCCATCTTTTAAGCTGAGAGAACATGCTTTCTTCGACAAAGTATTTAATTTCAGTATTTTTTTCATATAGATAATATGGCTTTTAAGACCGTCTTTGGGAAACACATAGAAAACTTCATTTTACCTTGAATCAGTTGTGTTCCACTAAATAATCATGTGCTGAATTTGCAACCAAAGAGAAGTTCTGAGAAATTCAAGTACAAGCTAAGTGTTAAGGGAAACTGATGCATGTACTTTGAAGCAAAGTCAACACAATTTCAATGTTATTTAAAATGAGTTGACGGTGTTTGTTTTTTTTCTTCCCTTACATTAGCTGAAATTCTTCTGGACACATTAGCAATGTTTGTTATGATCTTAGTAATAATAAGTTACAAAAAGAAATTTAACATCATAACTTATTTTATGTTAGTAAGTTTCCAACTGATTACAAAGAATTAATCCACCAAAAATCAAAAAGTGCCATTAATAGCAATTATTCTTCTAAATGTTTGTCCCACCTAATAAACTCATTCTCCATAATTAGTGTACTTTCAAATAAATGTATTATGGGTTTTTTTAGTTAATCTTTAGTCAGTTAAGAAGCTCAATTTAAAATAAGACTTAACAATTTCCATACACCACAGTAGGGAATTTTAATCCTAACATGTATGCTTTATAAAAATACCAGTTATGTCATTAAAATCTTCTAGCAAGAACCTACTGGCATGAATCACACTTCATCAGAATTATTTTCTTGCAGTAATAGTATCCATAAGGAAATGATTATTTCTCTATCTACCACCATATTGTTTATCTCCCAACTGTTAGTATCTACTTGGAATCCAGGGCTTTTTACTTAAATCGTTTCACATAATGTTCTAGAATTTATTTTTGTGGAATCCTTGAGCAACTTAAGGTCAGACTTCCTAGCCAAGTGTAACTATTTTTAAAAGAACATGACTAGTCAATATTGGTTTAAATAAGTTTAAAACAAAATACAAAACAAAACAAATTTCACAACCTGAGGTAGAGAAAAATACAGTTTGTCTCCTTAAATGGCAAGTAGAAGACGGTTAGGAACTCTGGAAAGTGTCCAGTGCCTCAGGTAAAAAGCAAATAAAACCTAAAGGAAGTTATTTTCATCTGAATGCAAGGATGTTGACAAAGTAAATCTTTCAGTCTTCTAGAACACAGCCAAATTGGAAGCTAATTTATTGCTGGCTGATGTCAGAAGCAATCTAACTTGTCCACTACAGAAGCCACACAAAAAACATTATTCATAAGTATACTACCTTGATGAGAAGCCACCCCCTGAGCATAATTAGGAAATACAATGGCCGGAACCAGAGCTGGAGTTGTAATACTAAAAGACAGTGAATCCTCTTTATAACTTTCATAACATAAAAGTAAAATATATCACAGGAGGTCAGATTGTTCCAAACTGATGTCACCTCAAAGTTAAAAACAGCAACTTACTTTTGTCAACAGAAAAATGTGACAATATATTTTTGATGTCAAATTTAATTGATAGAGACCCTAAATGGAATCCCATTCTTGATTCACTAATTCAATCAGTCATTACTACACAGGACATCACCAGATAATTTTTTTCCAGAATATTGTCAGACGTTTGTTGCTTGGGTTTTTGGTAAAAGATCTTTAAGTAAAAATAATATTCACTGTGTTCCAAATTTTACTCTGCCTTTCAGAATAGCTGAAGTGATAAATCCTATGTTTTAGAAAGTACTTATTTCTCGTAACAGGAATCCCGTATCTGTACTCATTATGCCAACAGATTAGTTGTGTTTCTTTTCGTGCTTTTTGTCCAGAAAGATTTTCCTAAATTTTTTCATGGTCAGATCTCTATCTATTTGATTCTACTGTGGTTCACAGGTCCCCAAACACAGCAACTATATTCAAAATGTTAATAGACTGGTTTTTTAACTGACCTTCCACATGAATCTTTTCCATTCTAAGCCTAATTCTGATCCTCAGATCTTCCTACACATTCGGAAGTTATTGATTTTTTACCTGTCTTTTATGTTATGACAATACCTATCATTCTGACTTTCGCTGATTTGTATCAACTATTTTGTTCATTGAAAATCCATTTGTAATTTTAACATTTCACAGGATGAATTCTTTTTACAGACCAATTTAAAAGATACAACCTGAAACAAGGAAAATATTTCTTAAAGTAACCTTACAATTCAGACAACTGAGTTGAAATCCTAGGTCTTTAACATTCTTGGAGTGTAATCTTAGGCCAATTCATGGCGTGAGAACATAATTTGTTCTTAGAATTCCTGTGAACTCTAGATTAAAGTTTTTAAAAATAGTGCTCTCCTATTTAGGGGAACTGACCACTCCATCTAACTCCCAGATCTGGACCCACTCATGATGTTATATCTGCCTTCATATAGTGTTTCTTTGTATTCTGTTTTTCCAAGAAATAAATAGATTTCCAGCATTGAAAAGATGTTTACTGCAAAGCTGCTCTCTTGAACATGAATTACACTTGGGCAGTCCACAGTATCTGCTGCATATTGAACGTGAAATGGGGCTTTACCTCATGCAGCAGGACTAAAAGAAATCCTTTCAAATTTTCACTTGATGTATCACAAATCTAGCCCACCCAGAGGTAGCTAGGGAGTCACTCAGCAGAGCAACCTGGCATGTAGCCATGAGGCATGGAAGGACTCTTTGATCTGAGGATTTTCTTGGGTCTCTGAGCCTGAGAGTTGAAGTTGTTCATTGGATAACAGTTATTGATGGTCATCAAAGGATCATCAGTATTTATTCACATGAAAAAGCCCATACTGTGCTGCTCCTTTTACTCACATCCATAGATCACAGTCAGAGCAATCGTCAGGAAATAAAGTATATCATGAAACAGTCAAACCATAAATTATTAGGTTAAAAATTGAAGTGTCAAAATACACATGATTTACTCATTACATACTCACTGAGAGAATTACCTGGGTTATTATGTTCTGATATGGATGAACTCATTTACCTGGGAAATTTCCAACTTAGGAAGTCCTAACAAGGGTTAATATTTGGGAGTCAACTTAGACAGGTAGGAATTAGGGAATTATGCAAAGATCCTGTGAATGGCACAATCCCAGCTAGTGTATGAAAGGGTCAGGTTAGTTTCCATTCACAGGAAGTGGACTAAGAGCCCTCCCAATTCCTATTAATATTAAACAAATTCCTCCTAAAGTTAATGGCTTTAAAAGGCCATTTTATTATGCTCGTGGATATTATGGGTAAGGAATTCACACAGGGCACAGTGAGGATGGCTCCATGACGTGAAGGGCCCCACATTGGAAGCCCAATTGCTAGGGGTACCTTGATGACTGGATATGAGAATATTCTCACATGTCATACAGTTGATGCTGGTTGCAACTAGGACCTTAGCTGAGGTGGTAAACTGAAATACTTTTATGTGGCTATTTGGCCTGGACTCTCTCACAGCAGGGTGACTTCAAGGTATTCAGACCCCTTATCTGGAGCCCAGGATCCAAAAATGAGTGTCCCAGAGAACAACAAAGAAGCTGTTTCGTTCTTTCTGACAGCTTCAAAAGTCAGGCAGCCTAACTTCCACTGAATTCTGTCATCACAGTGAGTCACAAGTATGCTCAGATTTAAGGGTAAGAGATGTAAACGCCACCTCTCTATGCTAAGAGTGTCAAAAAGTGTGTGCCCATTTATTGAAACCACCACAGATCCAAACAAGTCCCCAAGGCTGGACACTACCAGAGATTTCAGGGCAGATCTCAGCCACCATCAGCAAAAGCAAAGCAGAAAATGAAAAAAAAAAAAAAAAAAAAAAACCTGCTCTGTGAAAGACAATATGAAGAGGACAAGACAAGCCTTAGACTGGGAGAAAATATTTGCAAAAGATATATCTATAAAGAACTGTTATCCAAAATACACACAAAAAAACAAATAATTCAATTAAAAAATGGGCCAAAGACCTGAACAGACACCTCACCAAAGAAGATATACAGCTGGCAAATAATGAAAAGCTGCTTCACATCATATGTCATCAGAGAAATGTAAATTAAAACAACAATGAGATATTACTGCACCTCTATTAGAATGGCCAAATTCAGAACACTGACAACACCAAACGTTGACAAGGATGTGGAGCAACAGGAACTCTCATTCATTGCTGGTGGGAATGCAAAATGGTACAGCCACTGTACCAAACAAGGCTGTTCGGTGGTTTATTACATAACTAAACATACTCTCACTGTATGATCCTGTAATCATGCTCCTTGGCATTCACCCAAAGGAGCTGAGAACTTCTGTCCACACCAAAACCTGCATATGGATATTTATAGTAGCTTTCATAATTGCCATATATATAAGTCGGTTGTGTTTCTATATACAGGCAATGAACAATCAGAAATTGAAATACAAAGAAAAATACCATTTACAATAGCAACAAATATGGATTACCTAGAAGAATCCATGGGAGGATTAAGAAGAAAAGAAACCAAGGAAAGTGTTTTTCAAGTAGGAGGAAATGGTCGGCAGTATCAAATCCTGATGGTGAGTCAAGCACAGTGAGAATTCACTGTGTCCACTGAACTTGGATTAATGTGAACTTTGATGCCTTTAGTAAGTTCTGTTTTGTTGGAATCATATAAGTGGAGGTCAGACTGGAATGGAATAAGGAATGAGAAATAAACGTTTTTCAGGAAGTTAGTTGTGAGGAGCAATAAGAGTAGCTAGAGAAGGATATGGGAGTCGTGTGTGTGTGTGTGTGTGTGTGTGTGTGTGTGTTTTAAGATGGTAGCATATTAAAATGTTGAATAAATATTCTGTTAGAGGGAGAGAGAAAAGAGGGAAGTAAATAGGTAATCAATTCCTCCAAAGTGAGCTAAAGAAAAGCCAAAGAATAGTTTGATGGATGTCCCACATAGAACATATAGGAGGATTTATATTTGCAAGAGGATAGTTCTCTCTCTGAACAGTTCCTGACACATTGTCATATTTCAACAAATATTTGTGGATAAATGGATGAAAATGCAGAAAAATATTTTAGCCACATACTCCAATTACCCATCCATCAAAATGTTATGTAAAATTTCCTTATTCCGCTTGACTTCTTATATCAAATTTTGATCGCCTTTCCAATGTGCAATTATACTATAAATATTTTTTCATTCAAACATATATCTCATTAATAAACTAGCTCAAAAATTTGGAGGATGATATCAGGTCTATATTTTTCATTTATTAGTAATCTTGACTACTTACTTGCTGGAAGGATAGAACATAGGATTTGGATCCAAAATAGTATGTTTTTTAAAAGACAGCAGATTTACATTTATAGTATGAAGCGTTCCATGTCACTTCCCATTAATTTGGATATTTGGCCCTATTCCAGTGTTGATGAAGAAGGTGAAACAAGAATGATAAATTGCAGGGTTCGCTAGGGCTTTTTTGGCTGTCGTCAAAACTATAAAGTTGCTTGGACTTCCATTTGCAATAATTATTTATATCATTTCAACAACCTAGCCATTGTGCTCACAGCTTTAGGGAAATGACTAAGTCGAGGTTCACCTCAAAGAATAAACAAATAAGGGATTAAACTTAGGCACAAAAATAATTTGCTAAGTGCATTCACCAGAGTTACAAAGTACTCCAAAAGGACAGAAACCAGGGAGGCTAGGTTACATGGAGATGTGTTTAAGTTGTGCCTTAAAAATGACTTAACGCTTAGTCCCTGCTTGTCCAGTATTTTAGATTAGAATATTTGGCCTTAGATATGAAAAATTTGTATTTGCAAGAAAACAGTTATCTTCTTAAATAGAAAAAGTATTGATTTTATTTTAAACATGAAGTAACCTTGAATACCTGGGCAAATCACTTCACTTCTCAGATCTTCTCAAACTCAGCATCTAAAAGAAAAGTGTGCAATATTTGACACACAGTCAATAACAATGCTGAACACCTTCAGTGACATTATCCTTGTTATTCATATCATCATAACCATGACAAAGAAATTTACAAAATTAAACAGAAATGTCAAGTATTGAGTTGGATAGTGCAGTCATAAAGGGGAGCTAATGAAAATATGGTCTTGTAGTGTTTGTCTCCATTTGTAATTTCCAAGGACTGGGTATTTCTCTCCAGTGTCCAAACACAAGGACTTTTAACTTTAAAGAAAATTCAGTTTATCGGAAAGAGTAGTTCCAACTCTGTGAGGTCATCAGCTGGTAACTTGGATTCACTTTGCACAATGATTTTGATACCTGTCATTTGTTTGTTCTGTCAGTTTTCAATTGATGTTGCTGTGAAAGACTTTTAGATATGAATTGGAGAATGTTAGTTTGAATATGATATGATTCATTCATTGCACATAAGCCTTATTTTCAAAAGCCCACAGTGATTTTTTTTTCTTCTCCTTAGACCCTATTCAGGTAGAGGCAACTGCTACTAGCCACAAATATAGGAGCCCCAGTGGTAATAAAAAGGCCTTTATGATGAGCTGTGCACACTAGGCTGGGCAAATATTGAGATTCCTTCTTACCATGAAAACTTTGAGAATACTGCCTTAAGCAAACAGGGTACAGTCCTCTTTAAACTTTTATTTTTGACACAGGACCTTCTAAACTAGGCTAATTTAGATTTTTTGGTTTATAAATCTTGTCTGACTTTTCTAACTAAACACAAGCTCAGTGTGTGCCATTAGAGGCATGTATCTTTTTTCTTTTAAAATTTACATAAGTATTACCAAAATAAGTTGAGAAACTGTGCTCTTCTCCATGCCTTACCTTGACTTAAAAATGAATATACTCTGTAATTCTTAGGAAAATAAAGAGTTTGCACTTGGAACTTGAAATCTAAGGAATGTAGAAAAATATTAACTTATCCACCTGAGAAAAAAATACTTGTAATGAAAAACACCTGAATTTGTTAGAGGGTTGTTGTTTACAGTAAAAACTGCTTCAGATCTGAAATGATAATTGTTCTTCATAAATTGTAATAGAAAAAGATAGTGGTATCAACTTTCTTGAAGACTTCAAACACTTTTTCATGAAAGCTTGTTCTCAGCCTTGATCCAAGCCATAAGAAAATAAAGTAATTGTATGTGAGATGAGAAATGAGCATTTTGAATATGTTTAATTAATTATCAAATATATTTGAATAGTCAAATTATTTCTGTATAATAGATTTCTTCCCCTAAGTGAATTAGACTCATAAACTGTACAAAACCTCAAATATTTAATAATTAAAAATCATTTTGTTGATGTTTCCCACCCACCCCCCAAAAAACAGATGAGTAGACAATTTTATCTTCAACATTAAACTGATACCTAGTTCTTTCCCTTCCCCAAGATAAACAGAGACACCATGCTGTTGTCTATCAAAGACCATTGGGATGGATGACCACTTACAGAAAAGGATGTCAAAACCTTGAGAGAATCATGCTGTCTTCTGTGTCATAAAGACAAGTAAGCAAGTTTAAAAAAATCTTCCTTAAAAGCATAAGAATTAAAAAATATATTTAACATATATCTCTCCATAAGCAAGAAGCCTTACTATAGAATTAAAAATCTGTTTAAATGGCTCGTAGCAGGCTCATTCTCCCTTGACTGACTGGAGTAAGGAGAAGTGGCAGGTTCTCGGGCCAGTAAGCTGGCTGCCTGAAGAAGTCTTTCAGAGAGTAATTGGGAACAAATAAGTTCCATACCTTTCCTTAATATCAGTTTTGCCTATGTCTGGAAAATGTGACTCTATAATACATGATCTATAAACAAGACAACAAATCATGTATTTTAGACATAAGTGAAATTTAGGGATGATGAATTCTAATGTTCCTATTATACAAATGAGGATACTAAGATGCCAAACTAGTTAGTAGCTTATAGTGGTTACACCAGAATGTAATAGAAGAGATCAGAGTTCAAACACTTAATGTTCTTTTTTCCCATGACTTATTCTTTTTGCTAATCTATAAGGATTGACAGGTCAGAAGAGCATCTGATAAGTAGGATTCCTTCACCCCAGTCATATTAGAACTTCTCACCGCTCCTCACTAAAATTTCCAAGAAAGAATAGAATCTATAATGTGGAAGATCAGACTTTCATGAGATATAATGCCAGAATCTAGGAAGAACTGACATTAGTTAAAAATATGTGGAACTAAACTAAGAAATTAAAAACTTCAGTTGCCCTTTATGGTATACTTCAGATAATTATGAAAAAAATGGAAATGATATTTCATGCATTTTCATATCTTTGTTTTCCTAATAATGGATTCTAGTTAATTAGAAAACAAGTAGCCAGCCCTTTTAGTTCTCAAGTATAGAATGTAAAACAAGGATAGCACTTCTTCCCAAACCCTTTTTCTGCCTTTTCCACATCTTAACACCCCATTTTCCTACATCTTTAAAGAGACTGCCAATAAAATGAAATAAAATAAAATAAAATATAAAATAGAGAACAAAGGTCATGGCCACTGTATTCTGTTAGAAGTTCTCTCTACAAGTAAAAATCACTTTAGAAAATGAAAGAGCCTTGGTAGTGGTATCTGGTGGGTATTATAGTTTTTCCTGTTCCAAATGAAATGGACTTAGAAAGAAATGTTTACAATTGACTTGCACTAAGTGAATTTACCCAAAACTGGAAATTAGGCCATGAACTGTGCTTTTCAGTCTGACATTTAGCTGTTGTATCTACAATAAAATAAGTGGACAGAGGGTGAATCAACTGCAATCAGATTACAAATCTTAACCCTTTCAGATTTTGCCTCTTTTGAGCATAAGCAAAGAAAAAGCAATGTAATATCTATAAATAACTTCTGTAAAACAAGAGACAGGAAACAGGATCCAGAAGTACACAATCCAAAAAGAAATGTCAAAAAAAATTTTTGATCCTTTGTAGAAGCAAAAGCTACACACTGTAGAAATATAAGCACAGGGCAGGACAGGAATAAAGACGCAGATGTAGAGAATGGACTTGAGGACATGGGGAGGGGGAAGGGTAAGCTGGGATGAAGTGAGAGAGTGGCATGGACATACATACACTACCAAATGTAAAATAGATAGCTAGTGGGAAGCAGCCACATAGCACAGGGAGATCAGCTTGGTGCTTTGTGACCACTTGGAAGGGTGGGATAGGGAGAGAGGGAGGGAGATGCAAGAGGGAGGAGATACGGGGATATATGTATATGTATAACTGATTCATTTTGTTATAAAGCAGAAACTAACACACCATTGTAAAGCAATTATACTCTAATAAAGATGTTAAAAAAAAAGATATAGAAGCACAAAGTAATAGAAACAAGACAGGAAAGATTGCAAAAGGATATGGAATACATAAAGACAGATGGGACAGAAACCAACAAAATTGACTTCCACACTGGAAAATATAAACATCATAATTGATGGTGCAGATAATTGAATGTGTATTATAAGGAACAAATTTTACTTCATTCAGATTTTAAAGAAAAATGGGGTTATATTTGGCAATCATGGTATTATGCTATGAATAACATCTCAATAAATACACAAAAAGAAAACTTGTGCTAGTCAATATTTTCAAAAACAATATTATAAAACTAAAAATTAATAACAAAGTTAAGCATTAGACAAACCATATGGAAAATAAATCCAATCACTGGGAGGTGGGGGTGGGGGACAAAATGCATGAGTCTTAACTTTCAAGAAAAAAATCAAAATTGTAATTACAGAATACCTAGAAACTGGTTATAATTAGAACTACGTGTCACTTAGGTAATTCAGCCAAAGTTTTATTTAGAGGGAAATTCATAGCCTTGAATGAATTTCATTACTAAATAACTTGAGATGTCAGACAAAGAACAATTAAATTAACCTGGGAAAAATTCAAGGGATAAATCATAAAAATACATTCTATTGAAATGTCTAATAGTCCTTCATTCTAATATCTTTCTAAACATTTCACAAAGATTATGCTTTTTTAAATAGCTGGAAACATTGTAATATTAGAAATGGCAATATCCCAGAAACTAGTCAAAAAATTCCTTGCCTTCCAGCTGAGAATTAACCACCATAGATGGCCTATTTGAGGCTCTAATCTGTCATCAACAAGAGTTATATCTATCATGTTGACTTCTTACCTTTTGTTGCCATTTGTGACATTCATAGAGTCCCCAGTTCACACTTCATTGTCGTGAAGTTTCCTAAAAATCTAAAAGTTTTTGTCTGCTGGTGGGATCACATTACTTGGCTAAAATAATTTCTTTTAGCTAACCAAAAAGGTAATTAGCTCTTCCAATAAAATATACAGTGCTTACTTTTTAAAGCTCTAGACCAGCAGTAGTTTTGCCCTGTCACAGGTCAGGGGATACTCCAAGGCATTATATAAATGTTCAATCCTTTCTTTTCAGATGCTTCAATTTTCCTAAGATAACTGGTGTTAAACGGTATTGGCCCATAATCTGTGCCTCAATTCAGTCATGATGGTTTTTAAAGTCACCCTTTAAAAAAAAAAAAGGAAGAAAAAGAAAAGGTCAATTGTGGATTAATTTTCATCCACCAAAGGACAACATAAGTTTTCTTTGAGCAATTAGGCTATACTGGTTCCCAATTGTCCTATAGTTTTTTTCCATGAAGTTTTGGAATGTGTTATGCAAATTAAAATTAATCCTCAAATTGGCACAATTAGTTACACATGTTTATGTCTAACATATGTTTAAAAAAATTGTCTAAGTTGGTGGAAAATGTGTATATTTTACCAGATAAAAGCAATGCTGATATGTCTTAACTTATCTAGATATTATCCATATGGTTTGTAAATGTTATGCTCTGTCCAACACAAAAAGTAAACTGATTTCAAATTGTATAAGATTCTTTGATAAGTTTCCATTCTTTTTCTCTGGGACTCAAGAGATATAAGAAGAAGAAAATCATATAGAAATTTTTCAGTAATGGAAAATAAGGCTTTTATATCACATTCCCTTTTATTCATCAAGCCAACTGGAAAATTGAAACAAATAATCTGAAAACAATAGAGCTAAAGAAGTAGAGATTGCACAATGGGGTGAGATAACTTGAAAGTTGCACTGTAATCATTTTAAAGGACATAATATTACTCTTTACCAGCCAAGACAATCTCTTATGCTTTTAAAAATATCATTTTACTGAGATCCTACAAGACAGGAAGAAAAGTCTCAGCAGAAATCAACTCTGATGCCACCTTGGACTTGGACTTCCAACCTCCAGACTGTAAGAAAAAGATTTCTGTTGTTTATATACACACTACTAAATGTAAAATAGGTAACCAACAAGGACCTACTGTATAGCGCAAGAAACTATGCTCAGTATCTTGTAATAATCCATAAGGGAAAAGAAACTGAAAAATTATATATATAATTATATATGTATATAAAAAACTGAATCACTTTGCTGTACACCTGAAACTAACACAACATTGTTACCAACTATACTTCAATTAAATAAATAAATAAAATAAAGGTTATATGAAAGACCAAAAAAACATTTCTGTTGTTTAAGCTACCCAGTCTGCGGTATTTTGTTACAGCAATCTGACCTGACTAATACAGCATTTTTTTTCTTAAAGAAGTACCCCAAAATTGTATAAACTTAAAGTCCTACAAAATCTGGATCTGGTCTTGAGAGCCAAATTAAAGTTAAGGAGTAGGCAGGGTAGATGGTGGAAGACTGAGAAAATAATTTCAGTTCCTTTCTCCACCATCAACATCAAGTCTGACAGTTTTCCCCTCAGTAAATTATCAAAATAAACCTAAATTCTGTGGAGCTTCAGTCTTGGGCAGTAAAGATGTTAGAATATTAGCTGAAGGGTTTTTTTGTTTCTGTATAATATTATGCTTTAATCTTCAACAGAGAGGCTAGAGCTCAATAAATAATATAATAATCAAAATGGTGATATTAATAGTATTGTATGAGCTCATTGTTTGTGATTGCAGTTCTCATTTTGGTCTCACTATAAACAGAGCTGACATAGGCAGGCATATATATGATTAAACATCCTACCTGCAAACAGGAATATATTATGAAGTGTTAATGAGATCCATTAATAAGTTATGTGGCATAGATTTTTCTATTGGAATATGGAGAACATGCTCAGTTTCTTTTTTAACTTCAAAACAATTGATTTTGACAAACGTGGGGGAGGAAGGTAGAAGTTTTAAAGAAAATTGTTTCATGCCTCAGAGAATCCAAGAGGAAAGGCAGTCATTCTGGATTTCTGGAGATGCATCTGCCTTTGTGGGTCACTAACTATGGTATTCAGTCTATTTGCAGAATCCACTTACTAAGAACTCCCTCATGACTTGGCGTTAGTTACCACATGTTAAGCTGTGAGGGGTTTTCCTTTTCTCCCTGAAGGAAGCAGCCCACTGGAAAAAGAAAGTTCCTGCTCGGGATATGGGAAGTTTTTAATCCAGAGAAAAATTTCCATTTCTTATCATGTTATACATCCTGACCAATTGCTAAAACCTCAAATGATTTCCCAGTACGTTGTGTGGTTTATAGCCAAATATGGGGCCTTAAGTGAATCCCAGTGGTCCTGGAATTAATCAAGAAACACTAAGTCCTCTCAATGTGTTATACACTACAGCACCAGGCACTCAATAAACAAAGTCAACAGCAGTCTGTGCTCTTTAGGATCTCACAGTATATGAGGGAACACCAAGACAGAAACAAATGTTATTATCCATTAAGTTCAGTAACACTGACTTGGACATTCCAAAGGTAACAGAGAGAAGAGAATATAGGAAATAACGGGAAGGATTTGGACAAGTTGTTCTAAAGGTTATAGAAGTTTGCCATATGGAAACTCTGGAAAATCAGGGAAAGTTCCCCAAAGAGAGGAATCAACACCTGCCAAGATCTGGGAGAGAGAAGGGCAGTGTTTTTCAATCACTGAGAAAAGATTTAGGAAGAAACAATTATATCTGACATTATATGGAAACACAAGAGCAGGAAGAGGAAGAGGCAAGAATATGCAATGGCGAAAAGACAGTCTCTTTGTTAAGTGGTGTTGGGAAGTTTGGGAAGCTACCTGTAAAACAATGAGATTAGAACATTTCCTCACACCATATACAAAAATAAACTTAAAATGGATGAAAGACCTCAATGTAAGACCTGAAACCAGAAAACGCCTAGAAGAGAACATAGGCAGAACACTCTTTGACATAAATCAGAGCAATATATTTTTTGGATCTGTCTCCTAAGGCAAAAGAAACAAAAGCAAAAATAAACAAACGGGACCTAGTTAAACTTAAAAGCCTTTGTACAGCAAAAAAAAATCCATCAACAGATTGAAAAGAAGACCTACAGAACAGGAGAAAATATTTGCAAATTATGTGACCAACAGGGGGTTAATATCCAAAATGTATAAACAGCTTACACAACTCAATATCAAAAAAAGAAAAAATCCAATCCAAAAAATGGGCAGAAGACCTGAATATTTTTCCAGAGAAGATCCACAGATGGCCAATAGGCACATGAAAAGATGATCAACATTGCTAATTATTAGCAAAAGTCAAATCAAAACGACAATGAAATATCACCTCGTGCCTGTCAGGATGGCTGTCAAAAATTCTACAAATAACCAATGTTGGCAAGGATGTGGAGAAAAAGGAACACTTAAAACTGTTGGTGGGAATGCAATTGGTACAGCCACTATGAAAGACTGCGTGGAGTTTCCTCAAAAAACTGAAAATATAACTGCCATATGATTCAGCAATCCATTCCTTGGTATATATCTGGAAAAAATGAAAACAGTAATTTGAAATGATACAAGCGCCCCAATGTTCAGAGTAGCACTATTTACAATAGCAAGATGTGGAAGCAACCTAAGTGTCCATCAAGAGATGAATGGATAAAGAAGATGTGGTGTGTTATATACACACACAATGGAATATTACTTATCCATAAAAAAGAATGAAATTCTGCCACTTGCAACAACATGGATGGACCTAGAGAATATTATACTTAGTGAAATAAGTCAGACAGATAAAGACAAATATCGTGTGATATCACTTATATGTAGAATCTAAACCATAATATAAATGAATGTATATGCAAGACAGACTCGCAGATATAGAAAACAAACTAGTGGTTACCAGTGGGGAGAGGGAAGTGGAGAGGAGCAAGATAGGGGTGGGGATTAACAGATACAAACTACTGTGTATAAAATAGAGAAGCAACAAGGATATATTGTATAGCACAGGGAAATATAGCCATTATTTGTGATAACTTTTAATGAAGTATAATCTGTAAAAATATACTGGATCACTATGCTATACACCTGAAACGAACATAATATTGTAAAGTAACTATGCTTCCAAGAATAAAAAGAAGGCTAAGAGGAATACAACACAATCCCTCTGGTCATATTTTGATGCTCACTCAGTTAATGTGTGCCTTCCGATCTGCTGTAAAGCGATAACTGCATTTCAATACATCAGATAATTTAGAACATTTTGTTCAAATACATGAAGGAAAAATGTTTTATATTTTTTAGTAGAACTTATTCTACGATATAAGAGAATATTAACAAGTAGCACATTTTTCTCTGTCACATATCAAAATCCTCTTTCTCTACCAGAAAAATCTTATTCCAAATCAGAATGACCGATATCTGATTTTTTCTCTATAGTTGATAAACCAGGGCAGGCTCGTGGGGCTCAGTTTTTTGAGCAAATGTAATTTTGTTTCCAATAACAATGTAGTTACTTCTCTTGGAAAAGCGAAGTTTTCATGCCAGACATAGCGATGTAGAGATTAAGGTGATATTGCACATGTCACACCAGACCCCAGTGAGAATACATTTTGGAAAGGAAAAAAATAAAGGTAACAGTCAACTTAGGTATGCCAAATCGCCAGGGGCTCTGAAACCACAGCAAAAACCTCTAGTGCCTTCTTTTCCTGATTTCATAAACAATTTTTAACACGAGGTAGATTGTGAATGTTGTCAGCAGTCATAGAGTTTTTTTACTTAATACATCATTTTGTAAGACACCATGTCATACAGGGTGGGTATTCGTACTTTAGGATTTCCGTGAGAGTTGTACAGAAAAGCTTACACTTGTGTCAAAACAGGTAAAAGTGTGTGATATGATCCCTTTTTTAAGTGTGTAAAAGTAATTCTACAGAGTCCAGGATATAGTATGTTACTTAATAATTTTGTCTGGTTAAAAAAAAAGGGAAGCAAAAAAGAAAGAGGTGGTTCGATTCATTCATCAATGCTTGTCTTGCAAAGCAACTTGCTTCCTTCTACTATTTCATTCTATTGATATGATATTTACATTTCATGATATTGAAGTTAATGTATTTACCACTCTTCACTGTTTTATGGACATGATTGCTGGGAACATCATAAAACTGAACTCTATTTTGTCTTCCCTGAAGAAGACTTGAGAAGTAGCTTAAAGCTGAACTAGTGAAACCGGAAGCCAACCACCACCACCAGGGTGAGCTCTGCTTTCTCTTGATATTGTCTGATAGATGGCCAGTCCACTAGTAGGAGCTGTGCTGTCCACAATTTGAACTGAGCCGCTGCCAGCAGTCAAATGGTAAATGACAGCAAATTCAAGTATTTTGACATGTCGTGTGAAAGGCAGGAAAATGCACGTTGTGAAAGGCAGGAATTGACATCTGTTGAGCCAAAATGTTGGCCGTTATAGAGAACTTAGACCTGCAGTGAGTAAGTTGGGGGAGCTTAGGGATGGCGCAGAAATTTTCACACTACTTCTATGCCCTAGGGAGAGAGAGCCGGCAGCTGCCAGGAGGAAATTTTGACTACAACTCTGTCAACCAGGAAAATTTTAATCACCGGCCATGGAAATTGGGCCAAGTTACAGGTTTTCCACTTTCCAGTTATACAAGAATAAAATGGATTATACTAAGTTGGAAAGCATTTTGGAGTAATCAGAATACAGATGTACAAATATGATACAGTCTTAACATAGGTAAGCTGATAATTATGCTCAATATTTTCCCAAGTGTAGTCCATATACTCACACATTTATCGTTAATTCTTTAATTTCCTTCATGAGTCCACTGTGAATTTATAGGTATATGTATATAGATATATATATATATACTCATATATAAACATGCATATTATATGAAATTATTTTATAAGCTAAGGCAAGCTTCTAAAAATCTGTTCGGTGCACTTGTATAATTCTATCAAGAGAAAACACTATTGTTATATTTTAGGTACAGTTTTACTGATTTTATGCAGCTTCTATCTTGTTTTTCTTTTCCAAGTTGTTCTCAGGATTATACCACTCAAAATCTGTCTGAACTTTACTACCCATAGTGAATTCAGTTTTATAACTAGTCATGTGATTCAAAGTCCACATTTTTTTAAGAATCCTAGCATGTTTCTGACTATACAGTAAAATAAAGCTCCCCTTACTGTTCCAAACATCCATTTAGGAATCAGATAATCAGCTTCTCCTTTCTCTATATGTTATCATGCTCCAAGCAATATTTCACTTTCTCCCCAGATAATTCATATAATATTCCTTCTGAGTGCACATTATATCAGATGTAATGATATAGTCGCTTGTATGAGGAACATCAAGGATGATTGCTTTAATAAGAACTATAGTCAAGGCAAGTCTAGAATGGATCTTTTGTAGCAGGAGGGAAAGAGTCTTAGATTGGACAGTTTCTTCTCTACCCACCAACTTGCTATCATCTCATTTCTTTTTCATTTAGCATTCTAAACACCTCCTTTATTATTCAAAACGTTCTCATCCCTTTACCCACAAAAGAAGAGAAAAATTCCTGTCTTTTAGTTTCAAATTCATTCTTAAGAGGATGTGATCACAAGTTTTAAAATTTATGGTAATGGCCATCTTCTGTAAAATAGCTTTGTATCTTTATAGTTGGGCACTGTCTTGCCATTTAAAATTCTTATAACTCAACTCAAGTAAATTGCAGGGAGTTGATATGTATAAATTTACTTCATTACACATTTTAAGAGGAGAAAGTAAAAATAATTGCACAAAGACTGTGCTGTTCATTGGTTTCATAGGATCATTAATCCTTTTTCAGAATGGCCACCTCCCTCACATTTCAGTGCGGGTTTTGTATTCTGCAGGAGTGGGGAGAAGATTGCATTTAGCATTCCATGAACTTTAGACAATTAAAAAGTTGCAGTATTTGTTCCCAGTTGTTTTTCTGTTTCTTTCAATTTATCACAAAAAAGAATTTCAGTCTTTTCATTCTTATGAAAAGGTGTCTGCCAGATATGTTTGTTTAATATAGAGCTAGCAATCTGTAAAAAGTGTAGATTATCTAACAGTTTGCAAAGAATAAACTTGGCAAACTAAAATTCACTGTGAATCTTTTTTTAGAAGTATTAACCAAAAACTGTAGCTTCAACCAATAAGTAAGTAGTTTCTTCTATATTTTTTGTACTCATGGTTCCCATGGGTTTGTCTATCCACCCCACAATCTTGCTGCCTTTTCTCAGCAATAGCTTGTGATCTTGTTTTTCTTCCAGGAGCGCAGGAACAAGGGTAGCTCCCCTCAGATGGGCCTGTTCACAGAGACACATAGAGACAGTCTAGAGCAAGTGTACGGGGTCACCCAGCAAGTTTAGGACAAAGTGCTCTAGGGGGTCAGAGCCTCTGTGTGTCAGGCAGTAGCTAAGAGTACCATCTGCTTTGCTCTGTAGACACAAGACCAAAGCAGGGTCAGTAAGTGAGATTTTGAGGAGTGCTTTGAACATTAGATGTCCAAAGTTAGAAGACAAACTAGATTGTGTATTTTTTAAATCAAAGTTTCAGCATTTGCATCCACACTTCCTATCACTAAGATAAGCATAGAAAAGAAAATGCATGCCAGAGTGTCTGCCTAAGGTCAAATCACAGTTCTGCCCCTAACCCTAACCCTTCATTTGGCTTAAGCTTGTAGGTTACTTAACCTTGCATGACTTAGTTTTGTCATCTATAAAACGGAAATAATAAAAGCACCTACTTTGTAAGACTGTTGTAAAGATTAAATGGTTTATATTAATACATGCCAAGCCCTCTGTCAGTGCCTGACATGTTATATACTCAAATGTTAGCTATCGTTATCCAACAAACAATGATTATGCCATTTATTCTATAGTATGTGGAATTATAATTTCATGACTTCCTTGAGGGCCAAACTTTGTACACAGGAAGCAAAGGTAACCATGGCCATCAGCTCTACTTTCATTGGGATGGCAGGTCCTCATCATGGCTTTCCATATAAATGATTTCCAATCAATCACACATGATGGCACATCATTTTGCATCCATCAGTAAGGACAATTCTCAATCTAATAAGAAGCTCAAGGGTGAAGTCAATTACAGTTGCTTGATGTTCTCTGATTGCATATTCTTTAATATTTTATGTATCTAAGTTGTATTGTCACAATTGTGTACTGCATACGAAAAACTATAAGTAATTAGCATCAAAGTTGTTGGACCCTAGAAGAACGATACATAAACAATATTTAGCAACACTAAAAATATATGGTTTTGTGCATATAAATTTACAATTTAAAGTAAGTCAAGATGGACTAGATGAATAAGAATAAAAAAACCACATTGGAGAAATAGCTGAAATAATAATCATGGCATCAAGAAAACAGTATATCAATTTGGGGGGGAGGTTGTTTTTATAAAACAATAAAATAAATAGACTATTTTTTAGAGCAATTCTAAGCTTACAGAAAGATTGAGAAGAAAGTACAGAGGGTTCCCCTCACCCTCTCTCCCCACCCACTACACACGTGTCCACTATTGCATTAGTATGGTACTTTTGTCATCAATTTGTTATAATTGGTGAATTTATGTTATTTTTAACTAAAGTCCACAGTTTATATTAGGGTTCACTCTACATTTCTATGGGTATTGACAAATGCATAACTATCTATCATTCTATTTATCTATCTATCATTACAGTATCATACAGAATAATTTTATTCACCTTAAAAATCCCCTGAATTTCACCTATGTGTCCCTCCTTTTCTCCCCCATAACCCTTGGCAACCACTGATCTTTTTACTGTCTCCATAGATTTGCTTTTCCCAGAATATTATTTAGTTAAAATCATGTGGCATGTAACATTTTCTGTCTGGCTTCTTTCACCTAGTAATACGTGCTTACGGTTCTTCCGTGTCTTTTCATGGCTCGATAGTTCATTTCTTTTTCACCGCTGAATAATATTCTAGTGTATGGATGTACCACAGTTTATTTATCCATCCACCTACTGAAGAACGTCTTGGCTCCTTCCACACTGTGAAAGGTATGAATAAAATAGCTGCTTTAAACACCCAGTGCACAGGTTTCTGTGTGGACATAGATTTTCAACACTGTTGGGTAAATACCTAGAGTGTGATTGCTGAATTGTACGCTAAGACTATGTTTTGTAAGAGACTGACAAACTGTCTTGCAAAGTGGCTGTAGCATTCTGCATTCCCACCAACAAAGAACAAAAGTAGTATTTTTTTGCTCTGCATCCTCACCAGCATTTGGTATTGAGCTTTGGAGTTTGACCATTCTAATAGATGTATAGTGGTATCTCATTCTTTTAATTTACAATTCCCTAATGAAAAATGATGTTGAGCACATTTTTGTGTGTTTATTTGCTACGTGTATATCTTTCTGGTGAAGTATTTATTCAGATATTTTCCCCATTTTTTAAACATAAGTTTTTTGTTTTCTTATTGTGGAGTTTTAAGAGAAGTTTGTATATTTGGGATACAAGACCTTTATCAGGTACGTGTTTTACAAATATTTTCTCCCAGTCTGTGGCTGCCTCTTCATTCTTTTAGCAGTGTCTTGCAAAACAGAAGTTTTAAATTTAATTCTTCACATTGGAGAAATAGCTGACGTGATAATCAGAGCATCAAAAACTCTTGATGTATCAGTTATTTTGAATGAGCTGATCCAGAGTTATTTCTGAGTTTGTACGAAGATAAAAGCATGAAGATTGAGTTGTCAATGACAATGGTTCAGGAAAATTATGGGAATATGATCAATAACTCTAGAAATAGCTTTAGGAGCACTAAACACAAGTGAGGGAATTTCAACAAGAGAAATTAAATTGCTCTTTGGGAAATATGTATCAACTTTCAAAAAAATTCAAAATGGGATATATATATATATATATATATATATATAAATATATATATCTCAAAGCCAACCCAGGGTTTCAAAGGAAATTAAAGATCATACATGACTTGGGAGTGTAATCTACCCTCGAGAGCCAAATGGCAAATTTGTCACATCTTACACACCAAGTCCAGTGAATTGGCGATAGCTGTGTGGAGGGCAATGTAGAGAAGGTTTGGTGGGAAAGGAACCTGTGATTGACTGAGCAGTGGAACTGCTGCTGTGGAATGCAAAGTGTTCAACACTCAACCCTCAACTTCATCCTGGAAAAGAACAGCTCCTATATAAGTCAAATTTTTAATTACAGAGTACACTAAGATAGAGATTTGATAGAAGGTGCGGTATCATGAACTGAATGGTGATTCTTTTCTTCTTTACTCTATTTTCTGCATTTATAAGAGCATGAAAAGACAGGCTTAGTTTAACTCTTGTTTTGGTGGGGCTAGGGATCCCTATCCTTGGCAGGTCCAAGCAGGATGCATGGCTGTTGCCTCTTCTGATGAACTGGTAACAAAAGAAAAATGCTGTTCAAAATATCATAGGTGCTGAAGTCATGTCTCTACTTCTTAGCTGCTCCTCTAAGCGTCAGATAAGAGTCTTCAAAACATAGAAGATAAAAGGACAAAAGAAAAATAGCGATGCAGAATGGTTACATGACTGAGAAAGAGCATCCTTTCCCAGTAAAATCAGAATAAAGAAACTTGTAAGATATCCAATAGTAATGAGAGTAGATAATTCTGTGGCAAATACTTGATGAGAAGAAGAAAAATAATTACCTTCTAGCATGTA